TTTTTACAACGTGGAGGAAAAAGTCCCGCAAGATGCAAAAACGCCGGCGCCCACCAAACCCGACCCTTGGTCCCGTGCCTGTGAAGCGTCACACTTACCTCCACTCCAAGTCGCCACTGCTAGGCTTCCGGCGACCATGGCTTTTGCGCTTTCCCCTGTTGACCGCTCTCCGGAGACCACCCTCCATAACTTCGTTCAGAGAATCGTTTGGCAGATTTTGAATGCAGATTTGAAATCAGCATCAAAAAATACGCCTAGCAGTATAGGTCCCATTTCAAATGGCCACTTCGACTTGGGATCCTTCCCTTGTAAGCACGGCCGGCGTAACACGGCCACTTTTGGGTGTGTATGTCGGCCAAGCTGATATTATATGGAGCCCTTAATATATTCGTTTTTTGACACGACAGTATTACACCTGCTATCCTTGTGGGCTACAGGCTCATCCTAGAGGGATATCTCGGAGGCCTTTTAATAGTGAACTGTGCCTTCTTATCATAACTTAATCTTGGTATTTATCAGTGGATTATAATAGCTGTCTCAATGGGATTCAGCGAATGTTAGGCGTAAGATAACCTTGATTACCTTGTGTTATAAAGCCATGCTAGGAATTCCTTGCTTTTCCAATAATCATCGGTCCTTCCCCAATCACCGTCGCTCCATATAATATCAGGTTTGTATCGGTTAACTATTTCTATCAGCTGAGGGAAGGAGATTTGCTGAAAAATTTCACGTAGTTAATTTTTTCTATGTTTGTTAAACATACACACCAGGGAGCTCGAAACTACAGCAGAGTGGGCCACTCACATCGACATACACTGTTGTGTTATACTTGCCGTCGTCAAGAAACATTGGATGAAACCATTCGAAGAGTGAATAATACAGACCAAAATGAACGTCGGTGTCTTTCAACGCATCCTTAATTTGGCCTGAATATTAGCATCAAAAATTGTCTAGCGGATACAACTCTGGAATTTTTTTCAAAGGCACAGTTCACGATAATTCTGAGATAACAAGTTCAGGTAAAATAATGAAAGCTATTGTGTGCAGAGTAGTGCAAAAGTGACGAATCGCCTTTTTGTCGGGATTGCGAACTACGTACTATAGAAATGATTCTGTATAGTATGATTTCGAATAGGGTGTTAAAATGAGGGATCTTCAAAAACATATATAAAAGGCTTCAAAAAAGTAGCAATAAATACGGAGTCGTACGAGATCGCCGTCTGTAGCCGTCTGGGTGCCTCCCATATTAGCGTACTATTCGTTGCGTCCTAACGCTACATTGCGCACAGTGCAGTTTTAGCAAGGCCGGCATAACACGGTCACTTTGGGCGTGTACGTCAGCCTAGCCTAAGTTTTGGAGCCTTATTATGCCTTGTCCAGCCCATTTTCCGACCCGACAACGTCTCAGTAATATTCTTGGAGGTTCTCACAGGTTCATGCTGGGAAAAAACCTCAGAAACCATTTTATCGTGAACTGTGCCTTCAAGGTTCCAAAGGCATAAGGCGGTATCGTTGATATTCTACTCTACTTTGGCAAGGCACTCCGGAGACATGAATTGCTTGAACGAGGGTTTACCAGGCAGTTACACCAATGTTCAATACTTACCAACTATATCACGTTTTGGACCAATATCCATTGCGTTCCAATTCCAGCTTGTTCTGCTGGGCCACATGGTGAAGCCTTCATGATGTTTGCTTGTCAGAACAAAGTATCTGTAACCCAATGACACAAATCATCAAAAACTTCCTCAGAGTTTCTGAGTTGCCGTGCCGCCTGCACTACTGGCAAAAGATTACATATATTGCTCGTCTTAGAAAAAATGGTAATTTTCGAAAAAGCTTCAAAAAAAAAACTTGAAAAGTTTCTTAGTGTATTAATTTTAGAAAGACCTATTTTTTTTGAATGACCTTGTATCAATACCGAAATTTACCCACTTTGCTCCCGATGACTTCACGATATCCGCGAATTCCTTTGGATCGAACAGCTCGGCAGTGAACTGAAATTTTTGTACGCTTCAGAAGGTTTCTCGCCAGCTATTATTCGTTTAGAAAATGATTAACTTGTAACAATTCAATCAATTTTGATTTATTCACTTTTAGCTTTCGGTTTTGGGGCTTGCATAGGACACGATTTTTTTAAACAATATTTCACTAAATTTTTGGTTACTAACATCTGTGGCAAAGTCCGCATAGGTTGTACCGGGCTTATAATTACGATTGACATAGTTGACAACATCCTTATCCGGATTGTCACCCTTCCAGTACCACCAAAACCATTCTGACCTGAAAAAATGCGCATGTACATAAGCAATAACGAATTTAAAATAGTTAAACTTGTCACCTGAACGCTGGTACCGAATATACTCCCCAATGGCAGAAAATACCGAATTTCACATCATCGTACCACTGCGGAAGAGGCCTAGAGTCGATGGAAGGCCAACTGGGCTCAAAGAAAATACGAAACAATTAAATATGAACTTCAGTGTTGTGGAATTACAAAAGTGGTGCAAGCTTCCATCATGGTATAAAATATTCATTCAGCTCATATACTGAGGAAAACGATACCTATATAAAAAGGATATCAGAATATACCTGATACTTGGCTGAAACTATTATGCATCCTAATAGGAGTGAAAGAACGACGGTCACCATGAGAGCAGTGGGCATTATCAGCTGGGTCATTCAATCACAGATAACACAGTCAGGTAATCGCTATCAAAGAAGTCAAGGAAATAAAATCAATCACTTCTAGAAAAGAGAGGCTATCGCCTGCCAGATGACAGTGACTACCAACCAAGCTGATGAGTAGGGGGTGGTATCGCCCCTTACTGAACCCAGT